GGGGGGGAGGGGAGAGAGAAACTCAGCATCCGTCGGTTGCCTTCCATAGATGCCCCGACCCACTACCTGGGCATGTGCCCAGACTGGGAATCAAACCCGTGACCTTGGAGCAGCGGGCTGATGCTGGACCAGCGCAACCGCGGGGCCAGGGCAGCGTTTCTGTTCCTGCTCCCCCCTGGCTCCGGGCTTGAAGGGCTTGAATGTCTTCGTGGAGTGCTCCCCGCTTCGTTCTTTCCATCGGTTCAGAATTTTAAAACCCTGGGAGTAACTTCCTCTGGGTGAGTCATGGACATAAGGGAGAAATGACTCCGAGACCACTATTTATCAGAAACCACAAGGGTCTGAACCTCCCATGCAGTGGCCACCCCCACCCCTTTTTAAAATCGGCACTGGATGAAAATCCAGCATTCAGCTCTGGCAGGTGGGCCTCAGTGGTTTGAGCATCGGCCTGTGCACCTGAAGGTCCAGGTTTGATTCCCTGTCGGGGCACATGCTGGGCCTGCAGGCTTGCTGCCCAGTAGGGGGTGTGCCCGAGGCAGCCGGTCCATGTGTCTCTTTCTGCCCCTCTCCCTTCCTCTATCTCTAAAAAAAATCACTAAAAACATTAAAAAAGAAAGAAAGAAAATCCAGCATTCTGCTGCTTCTACTTCTGCCGGTCAAGGGGCTGTGCCCTGTGGCCCCAGGGACTCAGTTCCTTCCAAAATAGCTGTTTTGTTGCATCGGAATTTCTCATCTTACTAGAGAGTTCAGACCACGTCTGGAAGGTGGAAGGATCGTAGAAGAACTGTCGCAACATTGAAATCCAAATGACACAGCCAATGTTTCCACCAAGTCGAACAGCCAGCCGATGGGTAATTTTTGTTTTCAGCAGGCTGGCCCGGCGGAGCCCACTCTCACGCGGCGATTATCCTACGGTGTCTCTGAGGAGCGCGTGAGATTTCTTTATAATTCATCACGTGGCATGTTATCCGGGGGATCTACATCTGAGATGTTTTCCTCTCAGATGGGCGGCTCTGAGTTTCGTCTGCAGTATGTTGTGATCAGAACACCTTTGGTGTGTTTGAGGCCCCGAATCACATTCACAGAGGAGCTGTTGCAGCTGCTCGGGTGTGGGCGCCGGGGGCGGACGCAGAGGGCTCTCTTGCATTCGAGGGCCCGGAACAATTGGCGGAGATATTCCAGGGCTCCCGACAGCCAGCTGCAACCTGGGGTGCTTGTCTTTGTCTCTTTGTTTTCCTTGAGCTGCTTTCATTGCAGGTGCTCCTTGACTGTAAACCACCTGGAATGAGGGGGCCCTGGTGACAGTGGTTGTTCCAATGCTGTCCCTCCAGCGCTCGGTCCCTCGCTGGGACCACCCAGGGTCACAGTAGAGGGGACCTAACAGCTGTTTGGAGAAGGGCTCTCCTCCCTGCCTTCATCCCTTTGTGGAAATCCCCATGCCTGTTAGACAGAAAGGCTGCGTATTTGTTTTTTTTGCTTAGCAAACAGAGTACGTATTCTCAGGAGTTCTGTAATCCTCTTGGCAATTGCTTTTCTCCCCCTTTTTTAGAATGTTTTTATTGATTTGAGAGAGAGAGAAAGGGAGAGAGAGAGAAACATCAATCGGCTGCTTCCTGAAAGTCCACAAGTCCCCACTGGGGGATCCGGGATTGAGCCCGCAACACCTCCTCCCTCCCTGGGCACTGTCACGTGCCCCAACTGGGAATCAAACCAGCGACCTCTTGGGGCACGAGGTGACGCTGAACTAACTGAGCCACATTATTCAGATGGGGGGTGTTAAAGAACTTGTCTGCAGGCTCGCTGCTGGTACGTGTGGGGCTGGAGAGAAGCCCAGGCCGTGGCTCCGCCTGGCCTGCTGGACCACTGCCTCTCCCGGCTGCAGGCACCTTCACGCACAGAGTGTGCCCACAGTGTGTCCAGAGGCTGGCGGTGGACCTGGGCAGGTGTTCATCCCACCCGACAGGGAACCCAGCAGCTGGGCCTTTAGGAACCCAGTCACACGTCCTCAGGGGACCATATAATTTAGTGCCCAACTCATGACACTTTGGAGAGTGACATGGGGCGTGAATAAGTGTGCGGCAGGCCTCTGCAGGACTGTCAGCCTGGTCGAGGGCTCATCCTGAAGCCCAGACAGGCCTTTAAGCAGGAGCAGCGGCTGACAGCACCCGCCTCCCCAGGGAGGCTTCTCAGGAGCTCATTACTGAGGTGACCTTTCCTTTGTATTGACTCGAAGTTTCCTGTGACTTTCAGGAGAAGCCGGTGGGGACCCTTATTTCCTCTCTCACCTTCCCTATCACACCCTGTGCCAGCCGCTTGGGTCCCAAGTACCGGGCCATGCATGTGGCCATGAAAAGGGGGGACCCTGCCCTGCCTGGCTGGTGTGACTCAGTGGTTAGAATGTAGGCCTACGCACCAGAGGGTCGAGGGTCGCGGGTTCGATTTCCAGTTAAGGGCGCATACCTGGGTTGCAGGTTCTATCCCCACCCCCCACCAGTTGGGGCTCCTGCAGGAGACAACCAATGGATATGTCTCTCTCACATCAGTGTTTCTCTCTCTGCCCCCTTCCCCCCTCTCCGTTCTACTCTCTCAAAATTGATGGGGAAAAAGATCCTCACTCCTTGGGTGAGAATTTCAAAAAAAGGGGAAGGATCCCAAAGCCCTTTTGTGTCCTAAAGTTCTGCGCTTCTGTTATGCTCACTGGCTCCTGCGAGGGCCTGGACCGTGGGTCCCAGTGGTCTTGGTGGAGTCATGCCCAGCCCTTCTCTGGGGTGCAGCAGCTCTGCAGAAACCTGACTGTGCTTCAGGCGAACTCGGGGAGTAATTGGGCCCTGGGCACGAGCACCTCCCCTGGACATTGCCCGGAGGGCCTGCCTTGTTTTTTAGATAATTGCCCCTGGGATGTCCCTCTGGAGGTCGGCTGTGGACGCTTTGGGAATAGACGGAGCGGTTTCTGTTCTGAGGGCTCCGTCCTTGCTGACGTGAGTCCAGAGATGTGTGCGCGCCCTTCAGTACAAAACTGCCCCGTGCAGGGCCGGGCCTCACTGCCCCAGTCACCGGGACGAGCTCTGCCAGGTTACTCCTTTCAAGGGCCTGGCGTCGGTATCTTTTTTATTCCCTCTGCAACTAGGAACCTCTGAGCAAGGCTGACGTGTTTCAAAGATGTTCTGGCAAAAGAACAGCCCTTCCTGGGCTAGAGAGAGGGGCGGTCTTCTCAGAGAGAGGGTTGGGTAGTGAGCATTGTCTTTTAACACTGGGGGAGTAAGAGGATTAATGAGTATTTTTATAAAGTCCTGTGTATGTTCACATCCAGGGGTCTTGAAATTAGAACCAAGTCAAGTTTCAGAGCGTTTTTTTTTTTGTCTCATGCCAAATGTTTTTCATGCCCGGGAATTCCAGCGAATATGGCAGTCCCCGGTGCCAATTTTCTGAAATAATCCTTTCAACCCTCCCACTCTTCAGAGTTTTTAGAATCTGGGCAGCATGCAATTTGAATGAGAAAGAAGAGAGTCGGGAGTTTCTCTCCGGGAGCTCCGGGGAGGCTGGTGCCTGGATGGGAGGTGACAGTGAGGAATGAGCAGGTGGGCGGGACTCTGCTCCCAAGTGGGAAAACCTGGCCCCAGGTGTGGCCGGAGGGGCAGGCCTTGTGCAGCCTGTGGTGCTGAACCCGAGGGACCTCAGCCCTGCTGTGGGGTTCTGGGGTCTGGGAGGAAGTGATGCCTGAGTGAGTGAACGTGTGTGCGCAGCTGTGTGTGTGTGGGGGGGGTGGGGTNTGGTGCTGAACCCGAGGGACCTCAGCCCTGCTGTGGGGTTCTGGGGTCTGGGAGGAAGTGATGCCTGAGTGAGTGAACGTGTGTGCGCAGCTGTGTGTGTGTGGGGGGGGGGTGGAGAAGGGCCCACAGTGATAACAGTGCAGTGAAGCATGGGCATGGGGCCCGTATATGGTAACACATGACATGAGTAGCCACGGAGTGTGGTAGGCTGGAAGGAAGTATCTACTTTTGACTCCCCTCCCCAGTTTGTCTCGTTGGTTTTTTTAAAAATATCTTTATTGATTTCAGAGAGAGGAAGGGAGAGGGAGAGATAGTAATATCAATGATGAGAGAGTCATTGATTAGCTGCCTCCTGCACTCTNTTTAAAAAATATCTTTATTGATTTCAGAGAGAGGAAGGGAGAAGGAGAGATAGTAACATCAATGATGAGAGAGTCATTGATTAGCTGCCTCCTGCACTCCCCTTACTGGGGATTGAGCCCTAAACCTGGGCATGTGCCCTGACCAGGAATCGAACTGTGACCTCCTGGTTCATAGGTCGATGCTCAACTGCTGAGCCACACCGGCCGGCCTCATTGGTTTCTTTAAAGGAAACATTTAAATTAAAACCAAAATCATTAGGCCTAGATCAATAATCCAACTATTATTTGTTTTACTGTAGATGACTTAGGTTTTACGGTAAAACCAAGTAACCTCGTCTTAGGGACCGTGTCACAGGTAGACATCCCGTGGCTCCCCGGGCGAGTCCCTCGTTCCCCTTGCTTTGGAAGCAGGCCCCTTACAAAGGTTTTTACTGTGAGAAATCCATCAGCCAGCCCTGAAGTTTCCCTGTTTCTGTAGAAGTAGAAATGGAAATACTTCCCCATTACATTCTGTGGGACTGATTGCTAGGGACTACACTAGGAACTGTCCCCCAAACCCTTTTCTTTTGGGAAAAAAATTCTTGGATCCCAAATTCACAAATAGCCAGTGTACCAGATGTAGCTGGTTTCTAACAAAGCCTCTGGCCGTGGAGCACAGACACTGGAGGGAGTTTATGAGACACAATTAACTCCTCTGCTGTACTGCTAACTCCCTGAGTGGTTCCAAGTTTAATTTATTTTAGGAAGATTGACAATTATAATTATGTTGTCAAGCCTTTGTCATTTTTTTAATATGTTTTTATTGATTTCAGAGCGAGGAAGGGAGAGAGAGAGCTATGGAAACATCAGTGATGAGAGTCATTGATTGGCTGCCTTCTGCACGCCTCCTACTGGGATTGGGCCTGAAACCCGGCCATGTGCCCTCACCGGGAATCAAACCCTGACCTCCTAGTTCATGGGTCGATGCTCAACCACTGAGCCACGCCGGCCGGGCTGTCATTCTTACTGTAGCAACAACATGGAAACTGAGACAGAAGCCCCACCCTGACTTCGATCAGAACACGGCAGGGCCTGGATCCTACGCCTGTCTTTCCTACAGTGCTGAGCACTCGCTGGCCATCCGCAGTCAGCAGCGAGTCCCCGGCCCGGCCTAGGGGCCCTGGTCCTGCCTCCGCAGCGCCGGCCGCCTGCCTGGGTTGGCGCCGTGACAGGCCCTGGGAGGCCCGGGCAAGCAGGGCTCCCGGCTGCCTTTTCTCTCCCCTGAGTGCAGGCCTTGTTCAGGGATGTGTAGATCCGACTCTGCCTTAGGAGGGAGGTGGGGTACGCGACCCTGGGGCCCCTGAGGTTTTGGAGGTGGTGCAATGTAGTAGGACACGGGCAACTCTGGAGCCGGACGGACCCGCGTTTTCAGCCGACCCCAGCGTTTTCCTTTGGGTCCTGTCGTGTGGCTTCCCTGAGTTCGTTTGCGACGCTGGGGCTCTCGTGCGTGTGTGGCAGGACATCCGTGCTCTTGGAGATCCAGCGGGGGTATAGGGGTTCGTCAGATGGTAAATGTCTGCCAGCTGCTGGCCTTAACGTGCGTCCTCTGCACCTGACGGGGACAGACGCGTAGATGGGGCTCAGAAATGTTGGCCGCCGATCCTGACCGCGTGATGGGAGCGGCCTTTGAAGGCGGCTCCATCTTGGGAGGGGAGGGGTTTTGCGCAGCGCTTTAGAGAT